TCACGCTTCTCAAAGTGCGCCCTTGGGCGGGATTCGCCTTCTCCCATCAGCGCGGAGGACCTCCAGATCGCCAGTGCGCTTTTTCGTGTGAGTGGCACGTTCGTTAATTATTGCGGGCGTTGGCGCACGGCATCAGAGCTGTTATCGGCGTCGACGGCCGCCTTCGGCGATCGGGGCGCGAAGCGGGCGCGATGTGGCATCGCGAAGAGGTGCCCGACAAACCCGAAAGTTAAACGTTTTGCGCAGCGCGCCCTCCTGTCCAGAATCGTCGAAGCGAGCGTCGCCGGCGAGGTGGCCGCGTCTGTCAGAAGAGACGTGGCGATGCTCATTTGCTTCGGCTACGCGTTCCCTTTGCGCTTACCAAGTGAAGGCTTGCCAGCTGTCTTCGATGGTTCGGCATTCAACGTGCAGCACCGGGCATCGGCGCGCCTCTCAGCAGACGCGTTAGGTTTGCGATCGCAGCGGCGCAAGAATTCGGCACGGCCTGTGACAATTTGGCGCACGTGCTGGTGCCATACCGAGGGCGGCAAAGGCGCGCGCCCAGTGCACGTCCTCGGTGCTTTCTTTGAGCAAGCGGGCGCAGGCACGCAGGCCTTCGCGTGCTTCTCTCCCGCGGAAGCCGCGGCCGCCATCCGGATTGCTGTCAGAGCGGTGGGCGAAGCGCGCCCGGGGGAATTCGACGCGAAGGCGCTCCGCCGCGGTCTCGCGCTCGACTTAGTCGAGCGCGGGGCAGGCCTGGCCGAGATACTTCGAGAGGGCGGCTGGCGGAGCGCTGCCTTCTTAGAGCATCTGCCCGTAGAGTCTCTCGAGCGGGACGCTACCCTCGAGACCAGGGGCACTTGTTCTTCCGACAGCGACGTGCAAAGAAAAGTGTTAGCGAATCTTGCCGGTTGGAGCGCGCGCGCCGGCGCTCCGGCGGCGCGCGTGCATTGGGTTTGCGCCTGCGCGCACGTAGCGCGCGCGGCTGGGCCTCCCGCCGAGTGCCCAGCGCCCCGTGGCATTGGGCGTTCGCACTGGGCGCTCGGCTGGGCCGACGACGCAGGGAAGTACCCGAGCCACCTTCAGCTCGGGGCACCGTTGCGCGCGGCCAGGGTCGAGCGCCGCACCCATCGTTGCGGTGCGACGCGCCGAGCCGTTTGGCGTCCGTGCCAAGGTTTTGTGGTGGGCGATCATCGCGCACCGTTGAATCGCGGCCACGAAAGCGCGGGGCGGGCGCCCCCCGCCCCAGCCCCCATGCTTGGGCGAACGGGAAGGGGCGCCGCGCGACGCGCAGCGACGCGGTGCGACGCTTGCCCAGGCGATGGGCGCGAGGCGTCGCGCAGGCCGCCCTGCTTGCATGGGCGAGCGCGCGAGGGGGCGCGCGCGCCGCCCAGGGTTGGGAGGGGCGTCGCGCGCGCGGCTGGTGGGGGGTGTCCCGCCATGCTCGGCGAGAGGCACCTGCGGTGCGGCTTTTGCCCGCCCACCGCTCCCTTGTTGGCCATTCGGCTTGGGGCGTTTGCACTGGGCGCTCGGCTGGGCCGACGACGCAGGGAAGTGCCCGAGCCACCTTCAGCTCGGGGCACCGTTGCGCGCGGCCAGGGTCGAGCGCCGCACCCATCGTCGCGGTGCGACGCGCCGCGTTTGGCGCCCGTACCAAGGTTTTGTGGCGCGTGTCCGCTCGAGGACAATGTGCCCCCCATCTCGGATCCTCGTTGCCTGAGGGGGTCCGCAGACCTCCGCTTTCTTCCGTAAGAGGGGAAGGTGCGGAGCGATCTGCGCAGAATCTATGAAAAAAAGTGAGTTTGTGTTACAACTTTGACAATTTGTTTGTTCGTGCCCGCTTGAGGATGGCGCGTCCTGCGCGCAGGAATTCCGATGATGTCTCGGGCCCAGCGCTTGTTTTGCAGTAGGCATGTTTTTGTTGCGTGCCCGCTCGAGGATGGCGCGCCCTGCGTTCCGCATATCCGAGGATGTCTTGAGCGAAACCATTATTTTGCAGCGTTTGGGAGGCCTGGGCGCCCAAGGATTCAAGCAATAACGAAGCGCCCCGCCATCTCTACGCATAGGATGTTTTTGTTGTATAACTTGTTTTGGTTTTGCAGAGCAGTGCGCGCGACGCGACGGTGGGCCTCGCCAGCTAGCCGGGCAGGCTAGTGATATTCGAGCCAGCGTGTTGCTGCGCTGCGGCCCCGAGAGTTTGTGTGTCGTTGTTGTAGCAACGCGCTTGCGAGCAATGTTACCTTGGAGTTGAAGTTGCGCGGGGTGGCGGAGGACACGATCCCCCTACGTCGCCGCGACCCCAGCCCAGCGCTGGGCGCCAGAGACTGCCGCGAGACCTCGAAGCGAATCACGCGCCGGCCTCTTGACTGCGAATAATTATCAGGTGTGCGTTTGCGATCGTCGGCCGCCCTCTTTTGTCGCTCTTGTTCTTCTCCCTGCGGGTCGCGCGTGTCACTCCGTCGCAGCCGCTAGCGTTCTTGATCGTCCTTCGCCCTTAGCACTAACGATCCAAAACATTGTCGATTCTTGGTCCTCGGGGGGCTTCTTTGAGGCTTATGGAGCAATGGTCTCGATTCCCGTTTGCTAATGCGTTGCGTACTGGGGCCTACTTGGGGTTCGCTGCAGCCGAATTGGGTTTCCAGGGTTTCATTGAGGCATCTTGAAGACCATTGCCAAGAATGCGAAGCAAGGGCGTCGGTTGAACACACGAACTTTGCCAGTTCCAAGAGGAAGTTACGAAAGAACGTGGCCCAGGGAACGCGGACGCAGTGTAATTTACTATGGATCGTGGACCTTGGAGCGCGGACGCAGGGTAATTTTCAAGGGATCCTGGCCCTGGGGGGGCGGACGCAGCGTAATTTGCGAGGGAGCGCAGCCCTGGGAGCGTGGACGCAGCATCATTCACAAAGGAACGAGGCCCTGGGAGCGCGGACGCAGTGCAGTTTCCGAGGGATCGTGGCCCAGAGAGCAGGGACGCAGCGTAATTCACGGGGGATCGTGGCTCTGGGAGCGCGGACGCCGCATAATTTACGATGCATCTTGGCATTGGGAGCGCGGACGCAGCGTAGTTTATGATGGATCTTGGCCCTGGGTCAGGGACGTCCCGTGGCACGTTTCCTGACGCGTTCCTTGGCACGTTCCCTGGTGCGTCGCCTGGCACGTTCCCTTGCACGTTCCGTGGCGTGTGCCGTGGCGAGTCCCCCTGGCACGTCGCGCGGCGCGTCCCCTGGCACGTCTCGTGGCACGTCCATTGGCACGTTCCGTAGCGCGTCCCTTTGACACGTCCCGCGGTGCGTCCCCATGGCACGTCCCGTTGCGCGTCCCTTTGAACGTTCCGCGGCGCGTTCTCCTGACATGTCCCCTTGTCAATTAGCTCTGGGGCATCTTCTATGTGCTCATGCAGCTCGAGCTTATGATCCAGTTCCTCGATCCACAACGCTATAGGGCACAATCGCGGCGTGGCGCGTCGCAATTCAGCACGGCGCAGCGTTGCACAGCCTTGGGCATGATGCATCAAGGTCGATACACTCAGCATTGCATTTGCCCGTCGCCCAATCAGGTGTCTTTGAAAGCGTTGCCATGCCTTACGTTTCTATATTCCTTTCCGGGTTCGTGGCCGACCATGTTTTACAGAAAGTGAGGGGATGTTGATCGTTTGCGAGCCCGCTCGAGGACGTCGCGTCTTGCGCGCAGATTTCTCAAGGATCTCTCGAGCGAAGTATTCGTTTTACAGAACTTGAGGGGTCTGAGCGCCCCAGGATGCCTTGTTGGTTCTGAGAGTACGGTCGCTATTATGTAACGAGGAGTCGTAGCACTAGGAGCGCGGACGCCGAGTCATTTACGAGGAGTCCTGGCCCTGGAAGCGCGAACGCATCGTGATGCACAAGGGTGGGCGGACACACATTGGATTTACGATGGATCTTGGCCCTGGAAGCGCAGATGCATTGTGATTTACTATGGATCGTTGCCCTGGGGGGGGGCGGACGCAATGTAATCTGTTAAGGGGTCTTGGTTCTGTGAGCGCGGACGCAATTTGTAAAGGATCGTGGCCCTGGGGGGCGGACGCAGTGTAAGTTACAGTGGATCCTGGTTCTGGGAGCGCTGTCAGTGGGAGCGCGGACGCAGCGTAATTCACGAGGGATGGTTACCAGCGGGCGCGTTCCCTGGCACGTCGCGCGGCGCCTCTCTGGCACGTTCCCTGGCACGTCCCCTGGCACGTCCGCTGGCACGTTCCCTGGCGTGCCCCACTGGCACGTTCCTTGGCGCGTCCTGTGGCGCGTCCCCCTCGCACATCGCGCGGCGAGTCCCCTGCCACGTCCCCTGGTACGTTCCATGGCACGTCCCGTGGCGCGTCCCCTGGCATGTCACCGTGCGGCCAGGCACAGCGCAGAGAAGCAAGACACAGCTCCCTGGCACAGCAGCGCCACCACTGATGCACACCTGGCACGTTTCCCGGCGCCTGCCCTGGGCACGTCGCGCGGCGCATCCCCCCCGTCACGCCCCTTGACACGTCCGCGGGCACGCTCCGTGGCGCGCCCCCCTGGCACGTTCCGTGGTGCGCCCCCTTGGCACACCGGGCCGCGCCCTGGCACGTCCCCCGGGCACGTCCTCTGGTGCGTTCCACGGCGCGTCCCCTGACACGCCGCGGCGCGACGCGGCGCAGCGCAGTGCAGCACAGCAGAGCCCTTGGCACAGAGCCATCACCAGTGATATCTTCAGCGCTGCCACTGCCCACGGCCCAATGAAGGTGTTCGGAAACGGGTCCATGCCTCTGAGCTCTGAACCCCTTTCTGGGTTCGTGGGCCGATCCTGTTTGTGTGTGTGTGTGCGTGCGTGCGTGCGTGTGTGTGTGTGTGTGTGTGTGTGTGTGCGTGTGTGTGCGTGTGTGTGTGTGTGTTAATTTGTTCTGGTTGGCCGAACACCGACAAGTTGGTAGTGGAACGAAATCACGTCCCCAGCTGTCCCCCTCCTCGCTGCCCCTCGAGGGAGAGGGGGCGCCCCGGACTTGCGCGCTCCCCGAGGAGCTCGGGCGCCTCCGCAACCAGCCCGGCGCGGGGGCTGCGTCCGCCGTGGTCGCCGCGTCCACGGGCCAGCGGACGTCCGTCGAGGAGCATCGCTGCGTTGGGAGGGGAGCGATGCTCGGGAGCGGCCAAGAGGGGGGTGAAGACTAGGGGGGGGGATACCATGGCCAGGGTCATGATATTTCCCCAGGTGTCATGGCCCCTCCTTTTATTTCAAAGCGTTCCCTGGCCGCCCCTGGTCCGCACACATGCGTCGGGCCATGACTCGCACACACCCCTCTTGAACGCCCCCCTCTTGGACGCTCCCGAGATGCATATTTAGCTCCGAAGAAACTCTTCCTCCTCGGCATCCTCTCCTTGAGTCCTTCTCGTCTCCGCCTTCCTTTTCCGCTCGCCTCCTCTCGCCTCGTCGCGTCGTTGGCCGTGTGGGCCTCAGAGGATGCTCGCGTGCGGCACGTCCGCTTCCTCTTCCAGGCCACGGTTCTCTGCATGAGTTTGCCTATCGCAGGTGGGTTTTTTGGGGTTCCCGGTTCGCTTGGCGACTTTATTGATTCGCGCAGCGGTGTCAAGTTGTGTGGCCGCGTTCGGTTTATTCCTTGGTAAACGGTTTCAGTTCCGAAGAGTCACACCGAAGAGTCACAGATGGAAACGGTTCCGATTCCGCTGCCCTTCATTGTTTTTACCCAGAAAGGGCTGGAGCCTAGAGTTGTTTCCCGGAAAGGGCGTGTGTCCAGGGTTCTTCCCGGAAAGGGCGCGGGCCCAGGGTTCTCTTTTAGTAGGTTAACCCCCCGGCCCTCCTGCGACTTGGGCCACCGAAATTATTCTGCGATAAATTACGTGCGGGAGTAGGGCCGGCGAATTAAGATTTCAGGATGTCCCTAGCGAAACGCTTGTTTTTCAGAAGGTGTTGAGGATGTCTCGAGCGAAACGCTTGTTTTGTATTATAGATTGGTCTCTCCTGGGGACCTGAATTCTGAGGATCTCTCAAGTGGATTGCTTGGTTTCACGTGCCCAGGTCTTGAGGATGTCTCGAGCGAGACGCTTGGTTTCACGCCTCCTGGTGGCCCAAACAGATGTCTAGCATGAGGATTTGTTGAGGATATCTCGAACCAGAGGCTTGTTTTCACGTGTCCAGGTCGCCCAGGCGGATGCCTAGCATGAGCATTTGTTGAGGATGTCTCGAGCGAGTCGCTTGTTTGCACGTGTCCAGGTCGCCCAGGCGGATGTCTAGCATGAGGATGTGCTGACAACGTCTTGAGCGAAACGCGTGTTTTCACGTGTCCAGGTCGCCCAGGCACAGCACAGCCCTCGGCACGGTACATCAATATCGATACCCTTAGCATTGCAGCCTGGCATGTTGCCTGGCACGTTCCGCGGAGCGTCCCGTGGCGAGTCCCCCTGGCACGTCGCGCGGTGCACGTCCATTGGCACGTTCCGTAGCGCGTCCCCTTGGCACGTCCCGCGGTGCGTGCCCATGGCACGTCCCCTGGCACGTCGCCTGGCGCGTCCCTTGGGACGTTCCGCGGCGCGTCCTCTTGGCATGTTCCCTCTGTCGATTAGTTCTGGGGCAGCTACCATCTGCTCAGGCAGCTCGAGCTTACGATCCAGATCAGTTCGGTGAGGACTCGGATGCCAGGGAGGACTCGATCCACAACGCTATATAGAGCACAATCGCGGCATGGCACATCGCAGTTCAGCACGGCCCAGCACAGCACAGCCGTCGGCACGGTACATCAAGATCGATACACTCAACTATGCACCTTGGCACGTTCTTTGGCGCGTTCCGTGGCGAGTCCACCAGGCACGTCGCGCGGCGCGTCCCCTGGCACGTCCCTTGGCACGTCCATTGGCACGTTCCGTAGCGCGTCCCCTTGGCACGTCCCGCTGTGCGTGCCCATAGCACGTCCCCTGGCACGTCGCCTGCCGCGTCCCTTGGGACGTTCCGCGGCGCGTCCTCTTGGCATGTTCCCTCTGTCGATTAGTTCTGGGGCAGCTACCATCTGCTCAGGCAGCTCGAGCTTACGCTCCAGATCAGTTCGGTGAGGACTCGGATGCCAGGGAGGACTCGATCCACAACGCTATATAGAGCACAATCGCGGCATGGCACATCGCAGTTCAGCACGGCGTAGCACAGCACATTCCTCGGCACAGTACATCATCATCGATACATTCAGCATTGCATGTGCCCGTCGCCCGATTAGGTGTCTTTGAAATGTTGCAATGCCTTACATTTCTATATTCCTTTCCGGGTTCGTGGGTCGATCATGTTTTTAGTTGGTTAACCCCCCGGCCCCTACGGGAGGTGGGCCGGTGGAATTATTCATTATCTCGTTGTAATTACTAGGTAAAGTGTAAAGTTTCAGTTGACAAGTGCGCTTTTCGCGTGCCCGCTCGGGGAAAATTTGCCCCCCATCTCGGATCCTCGATAAATGACGGGGTCCGCAGACCACCGTTTCCTTTGTAAAAAAAGTGCGGCGCGTTTTGCGCCGAATCCATGAAAAATAACAAGCTCTGGAGACCCGACCAATTCGTAAAAAAGGCCACCCAGGAGGTATCTAACACGGTGGTCCCGAGCTAGGGTATCTAACATGGTTGTCGCGAGCTGGAACCACGTGTTTTTACGTGTCCAGGCCACCCAGGGGGGTATCTAACATGGTGGTCCCAAGCTGGAATCACGTGCTTTCACGTGTTCAGCCCACTGAGGGGTGCATCTAACATGGTTGTCCCGAGCTGGCACCCACGTTTTTACATGTCCAGGCCACCCAGGGGGGTATCTAACATGATTGTCCCGTACTGGATCCATGTGTTTTTACGTGTCCAGGCCGCCCAAGGGGGATATCCAACATGGCTTCGGGCCCAACGCCAAATTATCAGGAAACGCACGGGGGGCCGAAAAGCGCTGACTGAGCACATGTTCTAGTACAGAAAAGTAATGCTTTCTTGCTCTGTACAGGGGGTGGCGTTTTGGGAGTTCCTCCAGGGCAGACATTATTGAGCGTATCCAGGCCGCGCAGGGGGTATCTAACTTGGTTGTCCCGAGTTGGAACCACGTGTTTTTATACGTCCAGGCCACCCAGGGGATATCTAATTTGGTCGTCCAGAGCTGGAACCACGTGTTTGCTCCTATCCAGGCCACCCATGGGGGTATCTAACATAGTCTTCCCGAGCTGGCACCACGTGGTTTTACGTTTCCAGGCCACCCAGGGGGTGTATCTAACATAGTGGTCCCGAGCAAAAAACACGTGTTTTAACATGTCCAGGCCGCTCAGGGGTGCATCTAACATGGTTGTCCCGAGTTGGCACCCACGTTTTTGCGTGTCCAGGCTACCCAGGGGGTAACTAACATGGTTACCCCAAGCAAGGACCACGTTTTTTTAACGAGTCTAGGCCACACAGGTGTGTATCTAGCATTTTTTGTCCAGAGCTGGATCAGCGTGTTTTTCCCGGAAAGGGCGCCGGCCCAGGGTTCTCTTTTAGTGGGTTTACCCCCGGGTGGGAAGAGGGCCGGCGAATTAAAATTTCAGGATGTCCTTAGCGAAACGCTTGTTTTTCATAATTTGTTGAGGATGTCTCGAGCGAAACGCTTGTTTTGTGTTATAGATTGTCCTCTCCTGGGGACCTGAATTCTGAGGATCTCTCAAGTGAAATGCTTGTTTTCACGTGCCCAGGTCTTGAGGATGTCTCGAGCGAGACGCTTGGTTTCACGCCTCCAGGTTGCCCAGACAGATGTCTAGCATGAGGATTTGTTGAGGATGTCTCGAACCAGAGGCTTGTTTTCACGTGTCCATGTCGCCCAGGCAGGCGGATGTCTAGCATGAGGATGTGTCGAGGAAATCTCGATCGAGACGCTTGTTTGCACGTGTCCAGGTCGCCCAGGCGGATGTCTAGCATGAGGATGTGCTGAGAACGTCTTGAGCGAAACGCGTGTTTTCACGTGTCCAGGTCGCACAGGCACAGCACAGCCTTCGGCACGGTACATCAATATCGATACCCTTAGCATTGCAGCCTGGCATGTTGCTTGGCACGTTCTGCGGAGCGTCCCGTGGCGAGCCCCCCTGGCACGTCGCGCGGTGCACGTCCACTGGCACGTTCCGTAGCGCGTCCCCTTGGCACGTCCCGAGGTGCGTGCCCCTGGCACGTCCCCTGGCACGTTGCCTGGCGCGTCCCTTGGGACGTTCCGCGGCGCGTCCTCCTGGCATGTCCCCCTGTCGATTAGTTTTGGGGCAGCTACCATCTGCTCAGGCAGCTCGAGCTTTAGATCCAGATCAGTTCGATCAGGACTCGGATGCCAGGGAGGATTAGATCCACAACGCTATGCACGTCCCGCGGCACGTCCATTGGCACGTTCCGTAGCGCGTCCCCATGGCACGTCCCGCGGTGCGTCCCCATGGCACGTCCCCTGGCACGTCGCCTGGCGCGTCCCTTGGGACGTTCCGTGGCGCGTCCTCCTGGCATGTCCCCTCTGTCGATTAGTTTTGGGGCAGCTACCATCTGCTCAGGCAGCTCGAGCTTAAGATTCAAATCAGTTCGGCCAGGACTCGGATGCCAGGGAGGACTCAATCCACAACGCTATAAAGAGCACAATCACGGCATGACATATCGCAGTTCAGCACGGCGTAGCGCAGCACAGCCTTCGGCACAGTACATCAAGATCGATACATTCAGTATTGCATTTGCCCGTCGCTCAATCAGGTGTCTTTGAAACGTTGCCATGCCTTACATGTCTATATTCCTTTCCGGGTTCATGGGTCGATCATGTTGTATGTCCAGGCCGCCCAAGGGGGGTGTCTGACATGGTTGTCCCGAGCTGGGACCAGGTGTTTTTACGTGTCCAGGCCACCCAGGGGGATATCTAACATTGTTGTCCCGAATTGGTACGGCGTGTTTTCACGTGTCCAGGCCACCCAGAGGGGGTATCTAACATGGTGGTCCCAAGCTGGAATCACGTGCTTTCACGTGTCCAGCCCACCCAGGGGTGTATCTAACATGGTGGTCCTGCGCTGGCACCCACGTTTTTACATGTCCAGGCCACCCAGGGGAGTATCTAACATGAGTGCCCCGAATTGGAACCGCGTGATTTACGTGTC